GAGTGTGTGTACTCTTCCATGCGTTGATTTGTTCTCCAGATGGCTGACATGGCCAGTGCTGAGCCAGGCTGCAACCAGGAACCTGGAATTCCATCTGGGTCTTCCATGTGGTGGCAGGGTCCCAAGCACTTGAGCTATCTTCCACTGCATTCCCAGGCACTTTAGCTGGGAGCTAGGTTGGGAGTGGCAGACCTATTACTGGAGCCAGTGCTCATGTGGGGCACTCATGTCACAGCGGGCTGCTTTACCTACACCATGCCAGCTCCTTCCTGGAGACTTTTGTGCTATAGTTTTTAAATTCTAATTTAATATGCATTACCAACAGGTAAAACATCCTAAATTAAGTTTATAGATGCGTTATTAAACTGCTTGATGTTAGACTAGCTTCTTAAATTTATATTGTTTATTAGGAAGTCTTTTCAACCATTAAGATGATAGGACTTGAATTTTCATATAGGTGTTAGATCATTGTCTAAGTATTTTTTTAAAAGTATAATTCAAATGGAAATTAAATCCTTTTTTACTTATTTGAGAGAGAAACAGAAAAAATGATGAATTCCCTTCCACTCATTTTCTGCCCAGTTTCCATATGGATGTCAAGAACCCATTCACCTGAGCCATCACCAATACCTCCAGCATTAACAGGAATCTAGAAATAAGTGCCTAAGTCAGAAGTCAAACCCAGGCACTTGAGGAGGTGTTGTGGCACAGCAGATTGGGCCCAAACTTTGATCTCCTATCTCCTATATTAGAGTGCTGGTTCAAGGTGAGATTATTCTGCTCTGATCCAGTTCCTAAGGGTGCATCCTGGGAAGCAACAGCTGCTAGAACAAGTGTTTGGACCCCTGCTGCCCACATGGGAGACATCAAGTTCCAGGCTCCTGGTTTCAGCCTGACTCAGCCCTGGCTGTTGCAGGCATTTGGGAAATGAATCAGTGGATGGAAGATCTCTTTCTCTCTTGCACACATATCCTCTGCCTAACAAGTAGATTAAAATGAATAAATAAACATTTGGGGAAAAAAAACAGGTGCTCAATATGGGCAAGCTCTGTTAGCCAGCATCTTAACTACCAGGGCAGACTTCTGTCCCTTAATGTCCCTTGATTGAGTGACTGACTTTGAAGGATGGCAGGCAGGCAGAGTTCCCATCCACTGATTGACTTCCCAAATTCCTTCTATGGCCAGAACTGGATTAGGATAGATGCAGGGGCTGGAATGCAACCTATATCTCTCTGTGGGTAGCAGGAACCCAATTTCTTAAGCCATCATTGCTGCCTCCTAGGGTCTGCATTAGAGGAAAGTTTGAGTTAGGACTGAGAGCATGGAGTTAAACCCAGGGGCTCTGATATGAGATGCGAGTATCACAATTGGCAACTTAACCACTTCACCCAATGCCACTCTTCTGTGTTTTATCATACAGTAAGTGAAACATAGAAGGAAATTTTTATGTTGGATTTATTTGTCCTAATTGTGTCTTCCCATTCATAGCTTCAAAATTGTTTCTCTAGAGGTAAGAATGAAAATGAAAGACAATGACAGCAGTAGACTTGTGACCTGAGCAATCTTTCCATTGGGACTGAGTTGGTCATGTAGATACTCAAGTTGATAGTTCCATAGGAGTGTTTTTCTGATCTTCCTTTACAAATAAAATTTCAATTTTTGAAGACGAAAATGCTGACGGTTCTTCCCTGAGGAAAAGGTGTGTAGATGAGTTTCCCAAGGAACAAGCAAGCCTTTCTTAGCTGATCCATTTAGTTTTGGAGACAAAATTTCATTGGGTATTCTGTGTGCTTATATCTGAACCACTTAAATTAATGAGACTAAGAATGTTGGGAAAATTCCTGCAGGATACTTAATGGGCTGTGAAAGCATGTAAGGTAGGAAGAAAAGTGTGGTTTTCTCTTTAGGCATTATGAATTTTAGAAATTGGAAATGAATTCAGTGACATTGCCATCTGGGGTACCCTATGGTACCTTTTTCTGTTTCCTTGAGTGGTCCATCCTCCTCTGTCAACATTGGTTTGTAATGTTAGGCAAATAGCCAAATCTAGAACAGAACCATGAATCCCTTCTGAGACAGTATGCTCTTTGTCAGGATTCTCGAAAGAACTCCATGGCTGATGGGAAACTCAGCGTAAAACCGCCTATCCTTTGGCCACCACTTTATTTAGTCTTTGCTTTTTGATAATTCATCAATCCCAGCAGGGTCACTGGCCAATTCTGAGCCCTGCCCTTTCACTACCCATTCCTTAGGTCTGTGTTGCTCCTTTGCAAGTGGCTTAGATTCTGTGGTCCATTGCTAGAGCCACGCTCTTGTCTCCTGTCCTCTCTGTCCTCATGCGACAGACCACCCTGGGCTAGATTTATTGCTCTGCCTAGTCCTTATCTGCATACATGCACCTGAATGTAACCGCACAACTCTGCAGGCTGGTGTCACCTCAGAGTCAGTTAGGCAGAGCTCAGGGGCCCCACCCATTGACTGAGCAGTTGTTCCCTCACCATTCTGTATTACCAGTGCTCGCCTACCTAATCTTCTCCATCAGCACACATTCATGTTTACCACCGCTGAAAGCCACAATGTCATTTGCCCTTCATTCCTGCTTCCTCAGGAGAGAAGATATGACAATGGCAGCAAGGATTGGAGTGATACAACCATAGGCGAGATTGTCAGAATGAATGATATGTCTTCATCATCTTAGAGCCACCTCATAGAGATGTTATTGAAGTTGCCAACTCTTGTATTACACATACATTCTTTCTTTAGACGTAGTAGTTATGGGGTCAGTGCCAAGATGTAGCAATCCAGTCTTCTGCCTGGGGTGCCAGCATCCCAAATGGGTGCCAGTTCAAGTCCTGGCTGCTCTACTTCCATTCCATTTCCCTCAAAGCCTGGGAAGGCAATGAAAGATGGCCCAAGTGCCTTCCAAACCCACATGGGAGACTTGGAAGAACCTCCTGACTCATGGCTTAAAACCAGCCTTGCTCTAGCCATTGCAGTGATTTGGGGTGTGAACTAGCAGATGCAAGATCTCTTTTCCTCCTCTTCCTCTTCTTCTCCTTTCCTCTCTAACACTGCCTTTCAAATAATAATAACAAAATGTTTTTTAAAAAGCTAGTTTGGTTTTTTTTTTCTCAAGGAAAAGGAATTATTTGTTGTTTTTGTTTTCCCAATCTACTTCAAGCAGGCATTTTATGTATACCTGTGTATAGCAATTTAAAAATCTGATAATATCAGGGGTAAAAAATATCATAGAAAGTGAATCTTCATATTTCAAGTGATAACTAGAAACTTAAAATTGTTAAAAAAAATTTTTTAATCCTTCCATGAGTAGTATTCCATCGAGCGGATTATATCACAATTCCTCTATCCATTCCTCTCTTGGCAGACATCTGGGTTAATTCGTTTTTTGTGAATTGCTGCTATAAATGTAAAGTTGCAGGTCACTCTCTTGAATACATATTTCATTTCATTTCCTTTGTATATATTCCCAGGAGTAAGATGGCTGGGTCATATGGTAGATCAGTTCTCAGTTCTCAGTTGTGTCTGAATACTCTTCATACTGGCTTCCAGTTTACATTCCTACCAACAGAGGATTATTCTTAAATATTCTAATTTTTTAATTAGAATTGTCAGTATAAAATGTTTATTTTCATACATGTTTAGTGGGATTTTTGAAATTGTGGTGATATTTATTATTTTAGCCTTTTTAAGTGTGTAGTTCACTGCTCTTAAGTACATTCACCATTACATCCTGAATTTTTCATTATTCCAGACAGAAACTCTATGGTCATTAAGCGATAATTCTTCATTAGCCTTCCCACAAGAAGGGAGTAACCTTTACTCTACTTTCTATTTCTGCATTCTCCTAAGTGGAATGATACAATGTTTGTCCTTTCGTGTATGGCTTTCTTCACTTAGAGTAATGTTTTCTTCCCTTTGCCTTCCTTTTTTATTTCTCTTTTTTTAATAAAAATTATTATTTTCAAATAACACTTTTAGCAGATTTACAGAGAAAGGAGATATACACAGAGAGAAGTCTTACATTTGCTGGTTCGCTCCCCAAGTGGCTGCTATGGCCAGAGCTGAACCAATCTGAAGACAGGATACAGGAGCTTCTTTCAGTTCTTCCTTGTGGCTGCAGAAGCCCAAGGCCTTGAGCCATCCTCTGCTGCTTTCCCAGGTCATAAGCAGGGAGCTGGATGGAAGTGGACAAGACAGCATCCACATGGGATGTCAGCACCACAGGTGGAAAATAACTCTGTTTGTTACCTGGTGCCCCATTATTTTTCTTTTAGTATTTGCAGTGGCATATTTTTAATTTATAATCACAAGCTTAATTGGATAATGTTTTCAAAGTTTATACATTTGACAACTAGTATTAAAATCCCATTCCTGTTTTTGTGGCTGAATAATATTTTATTATATATTTATTTACCTTTTTAATTTATTTGTGCATAGATACTTGAATTGTTGCCACCTTTTGGCTCTGGGAATAATGCTGAATAGAGGGGCATAAGTATTTAATTTTCTGTTTTCAGTCCTTTTGAATACATACTTAGGAGTAGAGTTGATGCATCTTATGATAATTCTGTGTTAAATACTTTAAGGAAGTGTTAAACTGTACCATTTAATATTTCTATAAGAAAGTATAAAGCTTCCAGTTGTTTCACATTCTATCCAATACTCAGTGTTTTTTAATAATAGTCCTAGTGGGCAAGGATTTTTTTTAAGTTATGGATTAAGTTTCATCCAGCAATTTGTTTAATGATAGAGCATCTGATCCATCACTATGCAAGAGTGCATTTCAATTTAGGGAAATTATAAAATTTATTTTTCAGTGTTAACTTTGTTTCTTTCCTATAACTGTGATATCAGTAATTTGCTACAGTTGAGAATAAGCAATTAAGTATAAGGCTGAGCTTTATAGAACAAGAATGTTTGTTAAATTATATCATTTTGAAGTTGAGAAATATAACTCACTCCACTTTTCTGTATTGAAGACAGCAGAGACCAATGGCAGAACTCCCCCAGAAAAGGGTGAAGAAATCTGTGGATACTTCTTGAACCCTTCCCTAATGTCACCAAAATGTTCAGCAACAATAATGAAGAAGAAGGAGGAGGACACGAGTGACTTCCCCTCTGAAAGTCAGAGAAACATCCCACTTGCATTGGCCAATGTCCTGGAGCATGTCATGGAACAGCTTCATGTTTTGACACAGGTAGGTTGGTCTGCTTTGCACTTTGTACCAGTCATGGTTATAGCTGATTGAAGAGCTAGTAGAGCAGGGGAAGACTTTACTAGCAAGGTGAATTCAAAGTGCAATCAAGGCATGCTGGGTTGGGCTGCTCTAAGGTCTCTTAGATAGATCAGAGCCCTTGAGCACGTAAGCATGAGTGTGCACTAACACACACACACACAGTGCCAGCTCTGGCATTTGGGGACCAGAAGGGAGCAGTTTGGGCTTTAAAGAGTAACAAGGAATGCTCAGTGCCATAAGCTATTCTTGCTTGTAGGGATTTGTCCTTATTATTTTTGATGCAATGTATCTGATTGTGCCATTCATAAACAAATATTTAGGGCTGTAAAAAATGTATTGGGGTAGCCATTTCTGGTTAGTATGAAATATTACTAGTACTTATAGTTCCTCACCCTGAAAGTATTCTCATGGTCCAATATATAACTCACTTTACACAAAGGTTTCTTACATGGATGTGGCATTATTTCTAGAATTAATTTTTCATTCTCATTTTAGACTATTATGCATTTGTTTGAGGCTAACTTATTTTTGCAAATTAAAAATACAGTGGCTCTTTCAAAATGTCATAAAAGCCTTCCAACTCTTGGTCGGGAGATGCAGTTGTATCGAAGGGGAAGTGGTACATTGAAATGGTTATATGTCACAGTTTTCCCTTCCAGCTCTGCCCATTGTTCCCTTTGAAGATGTGTTCTATTGTCCTATTTTGATGTGCACAATGAGGATACTAACATTTGTCAAAGTGGGCTTTGTCACAGATCATACAAAAAGGTTTAAGTGTGAACAAGAAGGATGTCAATTATGCTTTGAGTAAATATTTCAAGTTGGAGTAGCTGTTGCAGGGCTGTGCATTGTAATCATCAGAACTGCTAAGAACTGTACACATGGCTAGTTCTCACCGCCAGATGGTCCACTTCCATTGTTCTGGTTTAAAGCTTCATATCAATCTTTTCATTACCCCATATGACTCTGTTTTACAGACAATTTGAGAACCACTAATTCAATGAGCATTTTAATATTGTGCATACCCTTGGAGTTAAGAGGCTTGTGTATTCTTTTAAAAAATAATTTTTAAAGTGTTCATTTGCTTAAGAGGCAGAGAAAGACAGAACTCCTATCCAGCAGTTCATTCCCTAAATGCCAAATCAGCCTGCACTAGACCAAGTACTCAATTGAGAAAGTGGAAACTCACTCTAGGTCTCCCATGTGGTTCAGGAAACCCAGGTGGAGCTGTCAGCAACACCTCATGCAGCCTGTGATAATAGGAAGCTGAGTTAGGGCCAAAGCCAGGAAATGAACCCAGGTACTCCAGTGTGAGACATGAGTGTCTTAACCTCTAGCCTAAATGCAGCTCCTGTGTGAGGTAATTTTGAGTTCTTGCATGGGAAAGAGCCATGCAAGAACTTGGGAGTCATTCTGGAATTCATCAATGATGATTAATGTCACCCATTTTTACTTTGTAATACCGCGCTAAATCTGACTTTCTCTTGATACTTATTAGACATCTCTTTCCGTTAAAGGCTCTTGCCTTCTCAGCTTCAAGCCAAATTGATTTTTACCTGACTTGTGTTCCATATGGTCTTGCCTTTCCCATCTAAGCCATTGTCTTCCAATGTTGGGTTCTTGTTAGGCTCTCACCAACATGAACCAGTCATCTCCTACTCTTTCAGCTTCATGTCCCATTTCTTCTTCTCTTTACCTGATATAGAGTTAAATAAGTCACATTAGGCTTTATTAAGTTAATGTTTATTTTTAATTGTGAAAGCTGAATTTCTTTTACTTATTAAAGAGATTAAAAGTAGACACGGCAGAGGCGGAACAGTGAGTTTGGGCCTGTTAAATACACTGAGTGTGTTCTGATTCACTTTAATTACACATGATTTCACAACTCCTAACTAAGCTGCAGTGTGTTTATATCTCTACTGAGCTATAATTAAAAGTAAATTAAAATGAAATTACATTTTAGATGGTAGATAAATGCAGATAGCCAGTGTTGAAGTTGTTGACACATATATGAGTATACTTCAAAATGTGGAAGAATGTGTATGGTAAAGCTATATATATGGATTATGCAAAAGTAAACTTAATTACCTTTTCCCTGAATGTGTTGAAACACCTTTATATGTCAACAACTTCAGCACATGGAATTGTAATAAAGTGTGTAAAGTGTTTGGCAAGATGCTTGATAGACATAGAAGGTACTCGATGAATGACAGAAGGTATTATTAGTGTAATTTATTTTTTTAAAGATTTCTTTCTTTCTTTCTTTGAAAGGCACAGTTACAGAGAGGAGAGACAAAGATGTTCCATTTGCTGGTTCACTTCCCATATGCCCACGATAGCCAGGGTTAGCTCAGGCTGAAGTCAGGCATGAGCTTCTTTTGGGTCTCCCTTGTGAGTGGCAGGTTTTAAGTACTCAGGCCGTCCTCTGCTGGGACTTGCTACACCACATTGCTGGCCTTAGCATCATTCATTTTTAATTAGTAATGATCATATGGAATATGAAAGCGAGAGTTATTAAATGGCATTTTAAAATCTGGTTACTTTCAGAGAATGATAGAAAATAATGCATTAGCTTTAAAATTTTTGACATAGTAAGTAGATGAGAGAACTCTTTTTAATTTCTTAAAAAAGATTTATTTATTTATTTATTGGAAAGTCAGATATACAGAGAGGAGAAGAGACAGAGAGGAAGCACTTCCATCTGATGATTCATTCTCCAAGTGGGTGCAATGGCAGGAGCTGCGCCAATCCAAAGCCAGGAGCCTGGAGCCTCTTCTAGGTCTCCCATGTGGGTGCAAGGTCCCCAAGCTTTGGGCAATCCTCAACTGCCTTCCCAGGCCACAGGCAGGGACCTTTACATGTTCGTCGAAGAAATGAAGCCATAGAGAAACACAAGGAAGTGGTTATTGTAAAAGGTGTATATGTGTAGTATGCTTTCTAGCTACTAGATGAGTAAGTAATCATGTATAACTCATCAAAGTCTGTATACTTAGTACTAGATTCACCATTTTAATTTTTAAGCATTTTTTGTAGTTAATTTTGAGAGCTGACAAAGAGATCTTCCATTTGCTGATTTAGTCCCCAAATGACCTTAGTGATGGGAACTGGGCCAGGAGGATGATGGCAGCTAGGAACTAAACCCAGGTCTCCCATGTGGGTGACAGGAACTGGTCACTGTTGCTTCCAGAGTGTGCATTAACAGGAAACTTCTAGACTACGGAGCCAGGGATGGGACTTGAATTCTAACACTCTGGTGTGGGGTGTGGGCACTTAACCCCTAGACCAAATGCCTCCTGTTAGCTTAAGTATTTTCCATGCATTGTTTCACTAAGTTCTCTCAACAATCCTTCAAGACTTTACCATCTTCTGGAATTAGCATATTTTCAAAGCCATCTGGCCACTTACCCATCTGGGCTGCTCTAGGGGTGGTGTGCCATGGCTGGATTGTAGCAGAGTGAGCAGTGGCGACCTTTCAGTAGCACCTGGACCAGGTATATGGCATTTCACTGCCATCTCCACAGTGCTGCGTGGCTTTGGTACCACTTCAATGATCCACAAGCCTACCACCTGGCCTTGGTGCTTTGGAAGATGCGACACAGGCTGGCCACAGAGGTCTGACCTTTTGCTCCTTCTTTTTCGAATGCATCATTTTCACTTTTCACTTAGTCTGCTCTGAGGAAGAGTGCCTGACCTTGTGGTAAGGCCCAGAAGCAAGGCCAGTCCTGAGGCCCCTTTCGGAGGCATCTGAGCAGAAAGGTGGGTGACCCAGTTCTAAAAGCCTCTCCCATGCAGAGACCACCAGCCCTGTGTCTTGCCACCAGGTTGCCAGCACTGATTATTTCATTCTCCCTTTTGCAGACCGTTTCTATCTTGGAGCAGCGACTAACTGTGACAGAGGATAAGCTGAAAGAGTGCCTGGAGAACCAGCAAAAGCTTTTCAGTGCTACCCAGCAGAAAAGTTGATCCATTTTCATTTAGAGTTCAAATCCTGCCAAGAAGGTCATCAGATCTCTGGATTTCATTGTTAAATTATTTGACTGACCTTGTTCATGCAGTTTCTTGAAGTAAATCATCTCTCTCTTTAGTTCACATGCCCTTTGGTGAAGTAGTTCACTTACTTCTTAAGCAGTATCCTATATGCACAGAAGGAATTCTTGGTCTGGCTCTGATACCTTCCAGTTTGAAAAAGAAAAAAAAATATCCTCTTGCTCATGTCTTCAAAAGCAGAGCTAATAAAAATTCACAAACTATAGAGTTTCCACAGCAAGAATATACTTTTTAAAAATTTTCTTTCTTTTTTTTTAAATTTTAGATGATGTTTACATAGTCAATCAGGGCAGGAAGGATCTAGGGTTAGGGAGAAGTGGGTATGATCATTGTTTCTAAGCTTTCTATCTCTTCTTCCCATTTTTGGGGGGTAGGGGGAGAATGGGGGATATGCCAAACCCAGCTGTCCCAGTACCCGAGGATGTGGAAGGGCCACCCTGTATCAACCCAGAGTCACAGTGGCGCATGTTCTGGAGGTTCTGCCCAGGTGGATGTGATAGCTTTGAAATGCTGTCGATCTCGCCTGTCTGTGAATGAGGAATCCCTTCCAATGTCCATTGGCTGACACCACCGACCTTATAATCCCCAATTGCCAGATTGCTGTTATTGGCTGAGGTAGTTCATATGTTCTGTTCTCCATTCTCTGCAATGGTACCAGTTGTCCTTTACAAGGCCCAATGAGCTACCATGTCCTCCATGTGCACCATGGTCTGCAATCCAGCATTCCGTCTTCTATACAGTGGAGGACCAGTTCTCCTAGATAGGTTCATATACCTGAGTCAGGTGACATGGGCCATGTCAGATAACCTACCCCCAAGACTTACGTTCCTGGCCACCAGCACACAGATGGGCTTGGTGACTTGGACCAGGAGACCCAGGTCCCACTGGACCCTCTATCCCCAGAACTCATGGACCTGACAACCCACCACATAGTGGACCCAAGGACCTAGACCAGGAAACCCAGGTCCCATTGGACCCTCTATCCTCAGGACTCATCGACCTGACACCCACTACATAGGTGGGGCCCTAAGATCCACGGCCAGGCCAGACCCCCCACCCCCAGGGCTCATGGACTTGACACCCACCACCTCCAGACTGACATGGCTCATCTTTCCTTGGCATCCACCAGGGGGTACTTTAGCTGCAGAATCAGCCCCCAATCCTGGCTAAAGTGTGAACTGGCTGGTAACATTGCCCAACTCAGCCTCTCCTGTACTCCATCCTGGTTCTCAGATCTGCCAGTAGATGTTATAAACTGGCCAAGTCTGGCCCACTCCCTGATCTGACCCACATGTATGCCAATAGGTACTTTAACCTGGTCTGGTTTGGTCTACACCTTGCCTTGGTTCTTACGCTTACCTACAGGAACCACAACCTGACAATGGAATTTGCCACGCTCCTTTATCTGTGCAGATCTTGCACATACCAGTGGGTTCCTGACCCATGTTAACTTTGTCTACCTGTTGTCCTGACAGGGACCATGTCCTTGCCCAATCGACCCATACCCTTTCCAGTTCTCACTGTTGGCTGTTGCAGCCCATCCACACCTGCTCCATACCCAGACACAGCTCTCAAATGGTTCAGCGGGAGCTGAGACTTAGCCCAGCCCATTCTACACCCACCCTGCCTCTCTGAGTACCAATGGGTATTATAGTCTAGCCCAGCCTGGCCCTCCCCAGACCCAGGCCACACCCATGCCAAGGGAGATTGAAGCTATGTTCAACCTGGGACAATGCACTCATTCTGGCACTTATGCTCACCTATGGGAATTCCAGCCAAACTGCAGCATCCCCTTAGCTCCCTAACCAGACCTGTCCTCAGCCACAGTATTTGTGTGTGCCAATGGATATTGTCGTTCCACATGGGTGAACCCACATATTGCCCTACAGATTCTACCCCTAGACCTGATTCACTCATGCGTTTGTTGACTTCATGGCCCAACCTCACAGAACCTGTTTCCTTTTCTGACACTCTGGTGAGTTCTGTGTTGTAGCCCTTCAAGTAAAGTGGGAACTTTTTGTGCATGGAACTTCCAGAGAAGCCATTCCTCACGTGGACCTGAACCCTAAGGTCCTTGCTGATCCCCACCTGTGTCGTCTCTCCGACTTCCTGTAAACCCACACCACTACAATCCCAGAGCACATTGCCAGGTGGTCCATGGGCTTCACCTGGCACCATTGGTGCCTGGGCCACCTGGCCAGGATTCCCTCAGTGCAGCCACGTGGCTGGGAGAGTCGAGCACCTGTACCTCCAGCTTCAGACTCACCTTGGCTCCCTCCGCCAAGATGGCAGTGATGGGCAGAGATAGGGTCCTGCATCTGCCCAGATCTGCCCAAGATCCATCCACAGTGTAATTATTGTTAGGGGAGGGGTTTCTCGGGACAAGCTCGGGATTTGCCCACCACCTGGCAGTGGTGGCCAGAACTAGGATCCCACACATTGAGCCTGACTCTGCCCAGGTTCCCCCATCACAGCCATACAGCTAGAAGAGTACTTCCAGCTTCAGATTCACTTTGACTCCCCCCACCAAGATCAAATATCCGTATTTTAATGAGCAGCAGCATATGCATGACAGTGAGTTTCTGTTCAAGCTGCGGTACATGTTGTAAACATCCTGTTGCCAGCCTTCAGGAAAATGAAGCGTCTGAAGCACAGGAAGCACCGACCACCCTCCTGTTACAGAATGATGCAACAGGTCTATTTTAAAAGATACACACGTGTGTGCACATGCTTCAGAAATGTTGTGTATGGTTGTTTGGGCAGCTAAATAATAGGTACTTTTAAAATAAGACCATCTTATTATTGTCTTCATTTTTTAAAAAGAATTGTGTTTTGAAGTAAGTGAGCCTGGTTTCTCAAAAATCTTGGTTGCAAATTAAGAATTTTGTTTCAACTTAAACGAAATGGAGATTAAAGTGAAAAGGAAAGCAGCCAGGTGAATTTTGCTTGCTTTTTTTTTAAGGCCAAGCTATATTCAGAGCAAAGGTAGCAGGCTCACAGGCACTTGACCTTTATGATGTCCATGAGTAACTGGGGAATACTGCCCGTGTGTTGGAAAACAAGAAAAAGTGAAGCCCTATTTATGTGGGAGTCTATGTTTAGAAATTTTTTTTTCAAAGTAATGCAATTGTGTCTATGAGGTGGAGTTTTTTTTATTATTGTTATTTTAATGTGTATTACAAGTGCCTTTTTATATCATATAATAATGAATTTCCAAACATTTCCAAGAGCTTATAAAGGCAAAGTGACATTGTGTTTTTATGATCTCTTTGAGAAAACTATAAATGAAATGTCATACCAATCTTGTTTTATGCTTTTTTTATGCTTCAAACAATAAAGGCATTTTTTTTTTTCTTAAAAAAAAATTGTTCTTTTTCTTTAACAATGTTTAAAACCTGGAAATACTAAACTTCTTATCTACCAGGTCACTTAATCTTTAATGAGAGTAGCAATCTCCTAGAGAGCTTGTCAGAGCAGTTTCCGGGCGTTATCTGTAGAGCTGATGACTCATTGGGCTGGGTGGGATCCCACACCTTGCATTTTTGACACGGGTGATGTTGATGCTCCTGGCCTGAGGCCCACACTTCAGCAACACTGATCGAGCTTTTGACCTTCCTCATAACATGATGTTGCCACATATTTTTATAGCCTTCTCAGAGCCATAAGTGATATCAAATCGTGATACAGATTAAAATTCCCTGAAACTTCTTCAGGAGGATGGATGGAACATTTTGTAACCCCTCCCTACCCCTCTCACCCCCCAATCTTTATCAGTTGCTTTTTAGCTTTTGAGGCGTCTCCTTGATTTTCACCTGATCCCAGCCCTTTGCTTTTCTAACTTCAATATGTAACTTTCTCATCCACATTTCTACTGGGAGGCCCTAAAGACATTTCTAAATACATCCACGACCAGTTATTTTGCCTTCTCCTTAGACCCAGCCATGGTCCCCTAGCAGCTTCAGGGCTTGTCTTTGTGGTCTCAGTCAGCCTTCTAGCCCAGCTCTCAGGCTGAACATCTGGTGTCATCCTTGGATCCTTTCTCACCCCTCACCTTCGCTCCTCCAGTGAATTTTGTCACATTGTATGGAGTACTGGGTCATTCCCCACCACCCCTGGTCTAGCCAAGCTGCATGGTCTCCAGCCTGAAAGACTGCTCATGTCTCCTGACTGGTCTCCTGACAGGCCAGAGAGCTTCCTGATTCGTCTATATCACATCAAGTGCTCTTCAGCTCAAAACCAGGACTTCCCATCTCAGGAAGAACTCAATTGTGACAGTACGCCAGCTGTCCCCTGCCTTCACTTCCTTCTTTTTGCTTCCCTTTACTCTTCTGAGGGCAGCTGTACTAACCATTTCCTCAGTCTGGAATGCCCTTCCCTTGGTTAGCTCTCACAACAGTGGACCTTTACGCACTGTTCTCTGTGAAACAGTAGCCATACCTGGAGCCTCTGTGCTCCTGACCTGACTTCAATTTCTTTAATGCATTTGCTATCTTCTGACATGAGCTTTTTGAAGAGGGCAGGTCTTCAGAGAATTCACGAAGGCTTGGGCACAATGGTTCAATAGGCTAATCCTCTACCTTCAAGCATTAGCATCCCATATGATCACTGGTTCTTCTCCTGGCTGCTCCATTCCCATCTAGTTCTCTGCTTGTGGCCTGGGAAAGCAGGAGAGGATGGCCCAAAGCTTTGGGTCCCTACATCCACATGGAAGACTTAGAAAGAAAGCTCCAGTCTCCTGGCTTCGGTTTGGCTCAGCTGCAGCCACTGTGACCATTGGAAGATCTTTCTATCTCCGTTTTTCTGTAGATTTACCTTTCCAATAAAAACAAATATTTTTTTTTAAAAAAAAAGAATCCATGCATGATGCATTGATTTCAAATTTTTGGCATCAAAACAAACCTCCATCTCATTTTCCCCTGAACTTCTAAAGTACCCTCTCATGTATTGGTTCACATATACGTGGAAGGCAGGCCCTCTCCTGTCAGTCATTGATGGATTCCTGGACGTAGAGCAGGCACACAGCATCTGTTTCTTGGAATATGTGAAAACAAGCACTGAGGTGTAGACTTTTCCCTTTCTGCCCTTGCAGTGGCTTCTCAACCTCGATTAGTTCCTGAGCACCGTGCCTCTGCGGCCCATTTGAAGAAACGGAATTTCAAGTGCATGATGATGCAGGCAAATCCTGAGGATGTCTGTAATTGCT